AGTGGGAAGAAGGTTTCTTTTTCTGTCCACGAGCCAGGATGAAAAAATGTTGTAGGCTGTTTATTTACAGTGTCATCAACATTGTACAAGTCCTCCCGAGATCTCTGAGAATGGAGGATTTCGCGATAAACCTGCATTTTTGTTATTTCAAAAGAATTGCATACAATGAACAAAAGCATTAAGGTGTCAGTTTATTTGGTACAAAAAAGCTCAAACTAATGCAGTCTATTACAACAGTCCTGCAGTAAATTCTACCTTCATGAAGGTTATGGTGTTCAGTTTTTGTTGTTTTAAAGAAATGCAATTTTTCCCCCACTTAGCAACAGTGTAAATACTTTTAATAAATGGTCCATAACATATATATATATATATATATATATATATATATATATATATATTATAATATAGTTGTAAGCAGATATCGTTTTGCATTTATCAAAAACTGTAACTCCTCATAAGGTGAGGCTGTAACGTGAGTACTTTGATTAACTGTTAAAATATTTTTCTTATATCTGCTTATGACTACATTAGTGTGTTATAATGCTAATTTATTTATTAAATGTTTATATAGTGCTTATAAATAGAGTGACTAAAGGTAAGGTTTAACCATTGCATAAGTTTTAGTTAGATCCCGGGAAAGCAACCAGAGGTTCAGGAGCCACGTGGCCCTCTCCAGTGGCTCCTTGTGGATTAACCAAAAATTTGATGGAAATTAATAAGTTGTTTTTTAACACTGTCATTTTCATTCATCATTGTTGTATCCCTAAAGTGATGTTTTACATTCTCTCATTGTAAAATGTGCAGCCATTACACAGAGAATCAAAACAAATGTTTAAAAACTGGGTTAGGTAAAACGTGTGTCACTTGTTACGCACTGACCTGCCGCCTTTTACTATATATTTTGCTGACCACAAGAGCAATGGTTACTAGTCTTAAATCTCCCTATCTAGGCTAGCAATGGATTCCAAATCCCAAAAAAGTAACTTCACAGAGAAAAATAGAGAATTTTGTGCGTGGACAGATTTGTTTGCTTTCAACACCAAAGCTGCTGGCTTATAGGTATGCTTGATCTGCAGCAAGAAATTGGCATTACAAGGCTCAAATATGTTTTGCAGTTTCAGACAGACTTTTTTTCGTTGTTGTTGTTTTTTTGGCCGAAAATGGCTCTTTTGATAATAAAGGTTGCTGACCCCTGAGCAAGATGTAATAAACTGGCAACTGAGTGGTACGTGCACACCTCTTTAAAATCTCAAAAAGTGAGGGTACTTCTTGATGGATGCAGCATTGTTTGACCCTCTGGACTCTACAGTGCCATTTTACAGCACAACTATAGAGAGAACCATCATCACAACAAGTACACTCTGACCAAAGATATATATATATACACACCTGTACAATTTAATGAAATTCAATACAGCTGTACTGCCATAAGGTCTACTTTTATGATGCCTATAATGGATAGAATAATTGATAGTGTCATAGAGGAGTTTTAGCACTGAGGTCAGTTAGTGGTGATTTTGAACTGGACTGCAGTGCAGTCAAAGGTGTGTCTAATATCTGGCCCTATAGAAGGATGAAAAATTAGCACATTTCAATTTAATGTAGTCCAGTACCACCACCTTAAGGTATGATATCAGTAATAAATATCTAATTGAATTTACAAATTTTTGTCAGTGTCAGCAAAAACATAACGGATATGATGAGCTTTAAAAAGGTAGAATATATGGCAGAGCTTGAAGAGGTTGAACTGCAATAGATTCTATAGATGTACTTAAATGATAAAGTAACCACTGAGTGACCACGGAGAGTAAAGCAGTCCAAAAATTGCTAAAACTGAAGAATGAAAGTGAAGTATAGTTAAAATGCATTATTATTTTTTCTCTTTTTTTAATAAATGAGGACAAGCAGACTTGAAAAAAAAGAACTTAACTCAACTGCAACTAATTGCTCCTTTCATCTATCCAATTAAAAGCAGAATTTTAATCCGAGTAGTCTATTTCTTGTTTTGATAGCTCATCACGTGCCACAGCCTTTTAATCAGCACAAAAATGTACGTATTGCATATTAATTCAGTGCTGAGGGATGAACCGTTATTTACACTTCTGATTTTCATCACTCTCTCCTTGCGCAGGACTCCTCTAGGGCCGATCCCACAATGACTGGGCCTAATTGACAACGGTGGATGTGCTGGCAAAAGCTAGCCGCTAACTGCTAACATTTTCAATCCATATCCACTCAGGTGTGCATGTGTGAGAGGGTGTGAGGAGGTTGTTAAAATGGTGCTGAGGATCAATAGGATGTTGTTGTTAGTGAGAGACCTTTCAAAGGAAACATCAGTAAGGTGGCATCACAAGTTGTCATGTGTGATGTTTGTGAAATGTATCTGGAATGTCTCTACCTTCAGCCGCCTGTATAAACAGTCAGCAGCGACAGCTCAGCTCCCCCTGTATTTTCTGTGATGAAACAGCTCGGTTGTATGAGGTAATCTCACCCGTACCCAAATGAGATGGTAATGCCTTCACTCAGGGAATTCAGCAACACACACCAGCACCTAGAAGGAGGCTGTGCACCTCAAATGGGACTAATAATAGAGCCTTCGTTCTCTTAACTCGGAATCTATATTATACGCTTCAAAAATGAGATCAACTATATGGGTCAGTGGGATTTCTGTGAGAGAAAAAAAAATGAATAGGAGCAACCAAGAGAAAATATGCTCTGCTGACAACAGATCTAAGGAATGCAGCAGCTAATAAGAAAATTATTTGGGCAGAGTAATAGCTCAGAACTTTAATTAACAGAGCTGGTTTTAACTGATTGAAAGGGAATACATGTCCACACTCATGTGCACGCGAGCCTAATTATTTTCAACCCCTTGATTGTCTAAATAGGCTTTATAAATAAAAGCACAAGTGACTTAAAATGTTCAAAGGAAATTATTTTAGAAATGGAAATGATCAAAGCGCAGTCTTTCATAACTTCTGTGATCTGTGAGTTGGAATACACGGGGACTTCAGTCCTCCACTCTGCTGTGGCCTAGGTTTCATTTTAACTTTGGAGGAGACATGCACATAAATACACACCACTACTCCACCCCCAACATCTGGCTTACTCAGGGGACAATAAAAGACATTTATTAGCCTCCATCTTTGCTCAGGCTGCCCACGGATTAAACTGAACTGGTACAAAAAACAGCATCAATTAATATCCATACCTGATCTGCTATGATCTATAGGCATCCTGAGTGATTGATTTACATGCAACAGCGAAGCCTGTTTTATTATGGAGATGAATAATAAAACGTATTTAGATAATTGTGTCAGTGACTTCACGTTGCCTCTGGCATCTTGTTCACATGTGTGTATTACCAACAGCCCACGCTGGCTCCTGATCCGTTTACTCTGTTTTTTATGTAACTGGCTGGTATCTTTACTTTCTGTGTTGATAAAAGGAAGTAAATGTACAAGATTTCAAAACACATACAGAAAAAAAGCACAGTTTGGGAGTTACAGTAGAGCTGCGTGGCACCGTAATAAGCCGGAAAGAGGGAGTGGCTTTTTTTCCTCTTAGGGTCCTTAGAATTATTCATGGCCCCCTCAGACGGGGCATATTCTGAAATAAGTTAATGTACAGAGCATAGTTAATGATGTGTTTGATCAAGTGGTAATAATACCATTCAAATAGAGTATACGCATCATTTTAAGTGTTCAATTTATAGCGGGTATGTATGTTAGGGTGGTGCTCTTAAAAGTTTCAGATAGTGTACAGTTTGAAACAAGAATGTCACTCTTTCTACAGTAAACTGTCAGATTTTGTTTGGAAATTGACCTGATATCTGCCATTGTTGCAAATTAATATTTTGGATACACACGCAGGTTGCACAGACAGATTGCATAATTCTGTCAATTACATAACTGAAGGAATACAATGACAAACAGCAATAGTACATTTAATGTATCAAATACTGGAGTGGAGCTGAGGACAGTTACCGCAGTCATGTCCCCCTTTAATAATGGACCAGAAGGAACGACATGAAACACTAGTGCATATGGGATGGATTTGTGATCCCCTGCCTCTTCCAGATACCTAGAACACAGCATTATTCCCTGTGGACTTCAATAGACACAGTCAGTTGAGACTTGTTCTTTTAGAAAGTCATCTGTGGAAGGGTTCAAACTTCACAGGTTTAAATCAGCAATGATACTGGCATAATGCTGATCCTGGGACAAAATCATTGCAGCTGTTTTTGATGTTAAATGTGCTTGAACACACACCTACACAGACAAACACATTGCACATCCCATTAACATATCACAGTATACATCCAATACCGGGTTAGGCTGCCTTATTGATCATGAAAAAGATGAAGGGACAGTCCATCACTTTCTTAAATCCTTTACCTGGGCTCCTCGAAGCCGCACTAGTGGCTAATTACTCTCTCATGCTCCTTGTGCTCCCTTTAGTCTGAGGCGAAAGATAAACTAATTTGATCAATAGTTCTTTAACTTCAGAGGGACCTAAATGACACTTTGGTCTGTTTGGATTATTTTATTGATGACTGTAAATAAATAAGCAACAATGGGTATCCCTGCATTTCTTCCTCTTGCCTCCGTAGCATGAGAGCGCTTGTGTCTGTGTCATGCACTTAAGGGTCAACACCACACCAAATCAAATTTGTCCCCTCCATTAATGTCACAGCCTTAAAGCAACATATCATCACAGTGTGGAGCTTGGTCTAACTGTAATTGAAAAGGCCCAAGGGGAATTCCTGGGTTGTGTGTGGGCCCCCCTAACCCCCACCACCCAACATCCATCATTGTAGAGTTAGGCCCTAGGGTGTTCTTCTAACGCTGAAGGTTAACAGCGCGATCTCCATGCGTCCTCACTTAGGGCTTTCTAAAATTTTGCCCTGTGGGCCCTAAGTACTGCTGCAGACCCTAGACATTGGTTAAAAACTATATGGAGCATCATGTCAAGTGCATGTTAATTTGACGGCCACATACCAAGGAGAGCAAGCTTGAGTGTGTCAACACATCCATGTTCAGCGAGTGGATGGACTTCAATAGGGATGTGATCAGAAACAGAATCCTTCCTTCAGATGTCGAGTTCACAGGCTTGATTACACAGCCGCCTTGCAATGCATACTGCAACAGATAAAATTAAACACTTGCGATTACTCACTGCTTTGAAACACCATGGACCGTGATCAATGTGATCCCTTTTTTAAGTTCAACCTCAAACGACAGAGATTTGAGAAATAATACAAAAAGTATTCAAATACTGTATCTCACAACAGAACCGAATTGTTGCTAATGAAATGTGATAGTTTTGAGAGACAGCAAAGACAACAGGCACTTATGCTCTCTTTGCACTGTTTTTGTAAAATCTAACACATTGTGCTCTTTAGGCGTCACGATCAAAGCCTTTTTAACATTTTCTAACAAACGCTTCAAGTGCATTCTGTAAAATGCGAATCATTAAGCAAAGGCTCTAAAATGTAACTGATAATTTCTCAGAGATCATATACTGCAGAACTGTTAAGAAGTACAGATGAAGATAAAGGCATCAATTCCTGCTCCAAAGTGCAGATTTAAGCATATTCATCTGCCTCTTCACATACATGAAAGCTACCAGCTGCCCTTGCCAGCAAGCAGAGGACATTAAGGCTCAGCCTGGTTGATCTCTGATGGCAAGGGTCTGGAGGAGGGATTAGAAGTAAGGGGACCAAAGTTATGGTCATTCCCTTAAAAGGATGGCATTGCATCTCATAGGCCTGGAGCTTGCAGGAGTTGAAAGATCTTCAAAGGTCTGCTCACCCCACACAACCTACTCTAACTCCCAAAAAACCTTGAAAGTATGAATTTTGAAAGATATGGATTTTTGAAAACATTTTTATTTTCCTTTTGCATGGTGATGGGCCACAACAAATACTGCAGGCCATATGTAAAAACTTTGGCTTTCAGTTTGTTGTTTATTCTTCGTATGAGATTATCATTGTTAATCACACAGTTACCTCCTGAGCTTATCAGCTCATAGGAGACCATTAAAGTCTCCATGATATCTCAGAAACTGGTTCATCTGAAGCTGTCAAATCTGTTATGTAAGGCATGGATAATAAATGAAAAAAGGCATCTTTTTAAGAACCATCCACAGGGGTAAATTGTAATGCATCAAAAGACAAATATGCATTAGATATGAGGATAGGCGGGGCCTTTCTCTCTAACCCACTGCATATTGGCTGTTCAGTGATACTCCGTTTTTGGCAAATTCTGCAACAATAGTCGGAGAGCTGAGTGTTCGAGGGGCTTGGGCTTAAGTTGACAGTGGAGCGACCGTTGGGGAGAGTGAATAGGAGCCTAGTTTAATAAGCCCTGGTACAGGCTGGACTACACAGGGGGCTGGCACCGCTGAAATCAGAAAACTGCAGTGCAGATGGGGATGAGAAAGAAATCTAAGATCAGTCTGGATAATTCATAAGAGCACAATGCTGGGACTTCCTATTCACCATTTTATGGTTTGTAAACTAAACACTAAACACATGCATACAATTGTAATGATTGCATTGTCTTACATAAGAACCCTGCTTCTGATGAGGTGTTTTATAGGCTTATTAATTGTCAAGCTGTCAAATTAACACAGGCTTCGACATGAAACAGATTACCTTACTCATGTTCTCAGGAAGACATGAGCTACATGTTAATTTCACTCCACTGTTTCATCTTATTGGCAGTTGCATTACATATTGTTCAGTCCTTTACTCTAGAATCAATCTTTCTTCATTGTAACACTGACTTCATTATGTATTGTTAGCATCACTGACGCCTTGATGCCAAACCCATCAGTAGCCACCATTCTCCAGCTGGAAAGAGAATGTAGAAAAAAACGAAAGCAGCATAGCAGCTGCATCCAGTTTACCATGTGGGGTTGCCATTTTCCATGGACAGAGGGGCAGTGTACAAAAAAAAGCAGATATATGAGTCAAGTTCGATGCATGTTTGGGGGAGAATCTGGTGGAGGACACCTACTTACCATGGAACCACACTGGCAGAGATTAGGGGCCATCATGAAGGAGCCATAGAGGGTGAAGATAGCCAGGAGCTGCAGGGATAGAGATAGATGAGACGGAGGAACAAGAGGACCTGGCAAAAAAAAGGGGAGGGGGCACAGAGGGGTGGATGAAAAGAAAGCAAGTTGGGGAGCAACAGCACCACTGGCTTGACCTGGGGAGGATGGGGGAGAAGCCAGAGATCCAATTAAAATGGCACTCAGTCAGTCAGAGTCAACGCTGACGCAGCCCTAGCTGGATGCTTAAACCGTACTTGGGAAAAGTATGGGAGCCGCACAGTCTAAGTTACGCAAGATGTCATACATGGTTATGATGATGCATAAAACCAAAGACCTGCTGTGACAAAGCAGCCCACCCTCTGGTACACAGCTGGGGCTCAACCCAAGTATGGCATAACAGCGACCCAGGGGGCGAGATAGCAATTCAATGGATTCCAAGGTGAAATGGATTTATTTACATTAAATTGATGCCCTGTATACCCTGTCCAAAATGGCGCCTCTGCTTGTTGCTAGGCAGAGAGCGCAAGAGTAAAGATGGCGGCGGACAAGTGGCAAACTGGGGAGCGGAGGTCTAATCAGTTGTGATTACTGGGGGGAAGGGTGTGGCAGGGTTCAATGATTATGGAATATTACCACAGCTTGGTCAGAGTATACGACGAAAAGCTCACATGCTGCAATCGCAGAAATTCACAGTTTAGGTTGCTGCCTGTTGGTTTTATACATGTCCTCACACAAGAAATGGGAAATCAGTTTTCCATAGGCAAATACACAAGCTTCATTGGGCACAAAACAATGTTTGATCACCTCTATTATGTTTTCTGTGGAAAGATTGACTATTTTTAGAAATGGAGGAGAAAGGGCAGAATGTGACAGTGCATACAGTAGTTGGGGTTTAGAAGATGAGATAGAAATACAGAATCTTTTGACATTACTTTAAAATCAATGATACTACAGTATGACCAAAAGTATTTGATGCAAGCTATTGATAAGGTTGCAATAGAAAGAAAGAGGAAGTGATCTCAGAAATTTCAGTCATCACATCATTCAAGTACACTGATCAAAGCCAACCCAGTCCACCTCAATTTACTTGAAGAAAGAAGCACTTCACAATTGTAATATTTTACAATATCAGCCACTTTAAATGATCTAGACCATCTTATACTACTTAACACTAAATCTTCAACCCCATGAAAATTATCATTAACAGTCTGAGTAGTACTGATGCAGCGGTACACTCTCAGGTACGCATTCACTGCTCATTAGCAAAAACTAATTTGTAAGAAAAAAAAAAAGATTTAAGCAGGACCTGTCCAGGGTGTACCCCGCCTCTCGTCCAGTGTCAGCTGGGATTGGCTCCAGCCCACCCTCGGCCCTAAAGGATAAGTGTGTATAGCTAATAGATGGACAGATTGACGGTTACAGAATTCAAACTGGTTGTCATCTTAGCAAACTTGAAATCTAGATACTTCAACTTGTGGATAGTTTTCATTAAGATGCCTCACGGAAAGCTAAAAACTAAAATTAACTACGGTCAAATCAAGAGGGATTTGCAAAATGCATCATCAAAAATATCTGACTTTCCCAAAAGATGCATCCCCATGTGTATCACGTACAACATACAGTTTTAGCAGCACATAAAATGCATGAACAAGTTCATCAGAGCTTTGCATCAGCTCGAGAACAATTACACTGCAAGCACATAAAATGTAGGCGCTTACTTTGCACGTTTCACTCAGAAATATTGCAGGATTAAAACAGGTTTGCTTTCTGTTTTTTTTTTACTTTTTTATAAATATAGAAAGATGAATGTTGCAACAAAAATAATATGAGCGGCTTGCAGGTTTATCTCGCTTTTATTTTGTCTTACAAATAACAACCAAATAACAGCACCATAACCAAAGTCTTCTGAACTTTTAAAGAACCTAAAGTGTGTTAATATGGTCAACACTCGAAGGAAAACATCTTCTAACACAGCCTCAGAGCATTCATCCCCATGTCTTTCTATAGCCATCCAGACAACTGGCCCTTCATCAAATCCTTTCACTGGAATAAAGAGCATCCTTGTTACAGCTAGTTAGCTGTCAGATCACTGTAAGCATATATTTCAAAGAAATGTAAAATTAATGCACTTTTGACCTGATTTCTTTTTGATATGTGTGAAGCAAATTGGTATATATAATGGTCATCATCCGCATGTTTAATGGTATAAAATGCTGATATCCATATATACAGGTACAAAGTATAAAGCTTTGCTTCTGGCAGTAGAGCAAAGGGTTCCCCCCCCCGCCCCATTATTCCTTATTCATCATAATTGTGACCCATCCGACCTCCACAATAATCAAGCTATTGCAGTACCTTCCTGAGCGAGACAAGGACACTGGAGACTGAGGACACTCAGTGTGTACATCATCTTTAGTTACAGACCATAAAATGTCCCATTAACTGTACTTCAACCTGGTCACTCAGTTTCCAACCACTCTCCCTTTTAGGAGAGTAATATTGTTAGAGAGCGTGTGTAGCCTGTGTAATTTCTGACACAGGAAACAGGGAGTGTAAACTAGGAATGAGTCGTGTGACAATAATAACTCAGTACAGATGAGTTTAGCTCTGCGCCAGGATTAGTAGGGAAACTGAATTCAAGCTTTGCCGATGCTTCAAACAGAAATCTTCTCAGCTTATTTCTCTAAAATAATGAGGTGTTTGTTGGGAATTTACATTCCAGAAGGTAAAAGAAAAACAAAAAAAACAGGCAAACATTAGCAAATATGTCAGCGAAACTGCAACTTAGGTGAAGTGAAGCAAACGTTAGCAGTTGAAAATGAAAACTAACATCCCTTTTAAAAAAATTTTTTTTCCAACTTTTCAACTTTTATCAAAAGCCAAATGAAACAGAACATATATTTCCTCTCTGAGTGCTACTGGGATTTTATAAACAGTGAACTCCAACAAAACAATTAATTCAGACTCAAAGTGAAGAGCTCAAAATTCTTTGAATGTAAAAGCCTTTATAGAGTAAATACAACAACAAAAAAATGTGTTCGCACAATACAATATTTTGAGGCTACATGGGTCATATTTGTGTGTGCAGCTTGCCAACCTTCAAAATAAGACGCTTTGGGGTGTATGTTGGTGTCTGCGTGTGTGCATGTGTGAGACAGAAAGACAGAGGGAGACAGGAATCGAATGGAAATATAAAAAGAAGACTAATAGGATATGCAGTCAGCAAACGTGAGTTGAAGTGGAAACAAAAAAAAAGCACACGTGCACGTGCTTGCTGAAAGGACAGACTGCGCGTGACCTTGTGGCAAGTACACCTGTATCCAGAGAAGACGCACGCGCTCGTGGCGCAGTTAAGAGAACTAAAACCTGATAGAAAAAAGCGAACGCTCTTTGGTTGAAAGAGGACCGACTGACCGTCAAATTATAGCCGGTGCTTTTTAATGAAATTGTAGTTCTTCACATGTCACCGCTCACTCACATGAGATTTAGCTACCTCGAGCAACCCAGTAATGCCTTTGTTAAAGGGCCTGGTCATCTATGAACACAGGACGTATCTTCTGCGCGTGAGAATACCCTCCTTATACAGCCACATTCAGTTTGCACCAAATTTGCTAACATGGCGTACTGGAGATTTAAAATCCCCCCCCCCAAAAAAAAAGGAGAAAGAAAAAAGGCAAAAGTTTGAGTTCACGATGGAAATGCATTGATTGGGTTTAACCACACACGCCTGATCAAAGAGAATATAGACACTTTAATAAAATATAGAATACATAATTAATTATACAGTAGGCTTATGTACAGTAGAACTGTATGCTAATTAAACGTTTTTAATAGTATCACGAACACTGGTTTATGCTCACACTGGTCTTACTTTGCACAGGAATGTGAAATATAGGCTACTTACAAACAAGAATACGAATGTGTAATGAAAAAGGGAGAGAACAGTGGATCTTAATCAAGGGGAGAGAATAAAACCTACTGAGCCTCGCAGTATAGGCCCGGTCTTAATTACAGACAAATCATGCTTCAGGCCCATCACGCAGGCTTGTTAGGTCTCAAAATGTAACTTGAGAAACCATCTTTCATATATTTATTTCATCTTGCGACATACATAAAGACATGAATAATGTTTCTATCTTCCCGACATACATTACACCTATAGTTTACATTCAACAAAGACCCCTACACTTAGGGCTACATTCAGCAAAACGCTTTCCTTTTCACTTTCCAGCAATAGCCTGTAAGTTCAGAAGACTCAACACGCAGATTTCCATTAAAATCCTTTGTCATTTTTTGTCTCACTTGAGATAGATATCTTTAATAATTATGTAACACAGCGAACAATTATAGGCATATACACTTTGTTAAAGTTCCTACAACCCACTGTGGGGAGACGTAGCTATAGGCTACAAGCCAAAAACCAACCAAACAGGCCTCACGACAACAAATAAAGCTCGCCACATTTGCAATGCAAGGTTTCAATATAGAATGACTCAGGACGCGCCACAAAATATTTGATACAACATTCACAAAAATACAGAGAGTAATAGAGATACAGCTGTGAGTTGTATGCTATAACATGAAAAAATAGGCCCCCAAAAACAAAACAAAAATTGGAAGTCGGCCGCATGTGTCCCAACAGCAACTCAGAGAGACGGGATGTTGTTACATTGCTTTGGTGGGAAGGAGTCCACGCCGCTGTGGCATGTGTACCATCCATTGACAATACTTTTCTGAAAGGGAGAAGTGGAGGGGAAAGTCCTTGAGCTCTGGGCAAACGTGTGACCTGTCTGGCCGCAGGGGTACTGGGAGGACTGGGACCTGTAGCCGCCTCTCTGTAGCAACAAAGGGTCCAAGAGAGGCTGTGACCTGTGCGTGGAGTAGTCCAAACTGCTGTCAAACGTGTGATGGAAACGTGACCTCAGGGTCGACTCGTCTCGACTCTCTGGGGACAGGGGGACATCTTGGGTTGAGGTGGGGGGGTGAGAGGGGCTGATCTGGGCTCCATCCGGGACTCGGGTCGACCTGGCCTCCGCGATGTGACCCCCGTCACCGGGACGCGCGTCACCGCTTTTGGCGTCTTGGGCCTTGCTGGTGCAGTGGAGCTTCATATGCTTTCGCAGGGAGCTTGGGTGGGTGTAACACTTGTCGCAGCCCCTGACCTTGCACATGTAGGGTTTATCACTGGAGTGCACGTGAGAGTGTTTCTTTCTGTCGCTGCTGTTCGCGAACCTCCGGTTGCAGCCCTCGAACTCACATTTAAACGGTTTTTCACCTAAACGTGCAAAGAGAGAAATGACGGCGAGTTATGAAAATGCTTACAGGCCCGTGCATGCTCCTTTCTGGCCATATATGCTAATACTGATGCAAGCATGAGTTCATTGAGCTATAACCATGCTGTGGGGCTTTTAAAAGTGACCCTACAAACCAAAATAATGCACATTCAGGCTTCACTCGACACTACTGTGAAATGACTGACCGTCAGCTGTCAGTGAACCACAGAGGCGCTTCTCAGGCAATATCAGCCTCGATGATAGATGTTTAAATAATGGCACATTGTTACAGTAAAATAATGTGCAAAAACTTGCCATGAGTCGTTAAATTATAGAGTTCAATGCAGTTGCTGAAACTTTGGCGGAGTCATGATTGCAACAAGTGAGGCAGTTTCTCTGCGGACTAAATCAACAAGGCTGTAAGGCTGTTAAACATGCATTACATTAGCATGGGCCTGCCACAGCAAACGCAAAGATTTGTTTTTAATTGAGTTATGCATAGAATGAATTGTGGGTATCAAGGTCTTCTAGCTCAAAATTGCCTACAGCTGCGGACTGTCCCCTCTGCACACATGCTGCAGACACTGAGTAAGATGGACTCATAAATAAAACTCTAATAGTTTCTGTTAAATCATTATTCTGCCTTCATGGACGACTGTCCAAAGTTAATATATTTTCTGACATAAATTGTCTTATTAACAACACACTACGCATGTGCAGTTGTGTAACAGCAAATGTCATTAAGCGTCGCTTTTCCTGCTTTCATTAGTAAAACCATGTACACGAGAAGTAAACGGGGGCGCCTAATAAATGTATTTTTCCCACAGCTTTTTTTAGTTGGGCCATTCCCTTCAGTAGTTAATTATATCTAAAATGTAAATGCCCACATTTAAGTATAACTACACCTTGTGAGATTATGTTTTTACTGCAGTGTAGCAGTGTGTGAAAAGAAGAACAACATGAGAATGCACAGTAAATCCTTTTTATAGAAGATATTAGAAACTGTGCTCATATCAGGGGCATAGAAATCCCCAAGAAAGGCACCGTTTTAAAATGAAATGCATTTTATGACATAATTTCACAGCGCTTCGTGACAAACAGGCCCATCAAAGTGATGGGCATTAAACAAGGATAAGGCCATAAATAAATCATCTTTTGAAAAAAAAGGTGACTCATTTTGTTTATATTCATAATTATTTCCTTTTGCTGACCTTTTTATTCCCTCTTTATTTCCTTCTACACCACTGTGTGATGTGCTCTGTTCCTGAGCACAGGGGATGAGTCCCTGGGAGGCAGAGGCAGCGTAACGGCTACGTCACAGCTCTCCGGTGTCCCGGCATTTATTTAATAATTTCACTGAATGAAGTGGGAGAGGCACCCAAACCACTAGGCCTGCAGACTATACTCGTTTGTAACTGGCTTATACTATTCATCTGTGGCTCCTGCGTGGAGCCTGTACAGGTTATTCTCCTGCAAAACCAGGCAGTGACAAAGACGGCAAGCAGCCGCCAGAGAAGCTTTGTATAATAACATTTTTATAACGATTTAGGCCTAAAATAACACCAGCACCATGTGTTCATAATTTAATAAAATTCACAACAATGATAATGATAATAATGATAATAATAATTATAATAATAATAATGATAATGTGACAGTTTCAGCAAACTTCCATAATTAGTTAAATAATGAAAAATAAAAAATATATGTTCACACAGATAAACAATGCAAAACTGATCAATATTAATGAAAGAGTTTGTAAAGTTAAAAATACTGACCACATTTTAATCCAAATGTCACCTATTATTATTATTATTATTATTATTATTATTATTGTGTTGTTGTTGTTGTAGTATGATTATTAACTAACCTGTGTGAGTCCTCTTGTGGATCTTAAGATTTTCTGATCTTGCAAAAACTTTCTCACAGCCGTGAAAGGGGCAGGGAAAGGGCTTTTCCCCTGTGTGGACTCTGACGTGGTTCACCAGCTTGTATTTGGCTTTGAAAGGCTTCCTGTCCCTCGCGCAGTTCTCCCAGTGACAAACGTATTCAGAGTGTTCAGGTCCTCCGACATGCTCCACTGTCACATGGGTGACAAGTTCATACATGCTCCCGAAGGCTCTGGAGCAAGGCAGCTTCCCAGCCCCCTCTTGGCCGTCACTCCACTTACACACCAGCTCATGCTTCACTGTTTGCTTGGAGCACCTGAGGAAAGCGTCGCCTCCTCCACGCTGAATTGCCATGTTGAGGGGCTTGTACAGACCCAGGAATTGTGTCACAAGTTGCTGGCTGTTTCCCTTGGGGTTGATAGTTTGGCCATAAGGGTGAGTCCGGGTGAGGAGGTCGCCAGGTAGACCCAGCATCATCTGGCTGCCGAGATCCCGAGATGCGTCGGTGGAGGCGTGGGCCTGCTCCTGATAACTTGTGAAAAAAGCATGGCTCCTGTTGTCCCTGCAGCCAGGAAAGTCACGATACCTTCCAATCCCGCCATGTTGGTTAGCTCTTGATGCCAGTTGATCAGTGACGGGTGGCATGCCGGCTCCAGAAAGATTGGCTCCAATGATAATGCCCCTAGGGCTGTGCTCTAACCGGTGGCTGGGGTATCCAGAGTCTGAAAAATTGGGAACCGAATGGTCAACATATGCACTGGACCTCGTCTCGGGGTAGTCTCGCAAATTGTGCGAGGGGCAGAGTTTTAAGGAACTGCCAGTGGGGTGTCCCATGTGCTCTCCTGCCAAAGGTGGCAGCACCACGCTGGGTTCAGTATTGCTCTCCCCGGGGTTGACGCAAGAGAGAGGGCAGCCACTAAACCTCGAAAGGCTTGTCATGTTTGGTTGTGAGTTTGGCTATGAGTTTGCAAAATCAAACCAATTCAGCACTCAGGATGCACCTAGAAATTCTGTTTCCATGCTTCCTTGTTTGTATATCATCTGCATGTGAAATTCTTGGCCGTGAACTTCGCAGAAGTAGGAACCAGACTCAATTTCGTTAAAGTTGGTGTGAGTCCCATGCCGTTCACTTTGCCCTCTTGATTTGTGGCAATAACCGTGGTAGTAAAAATGCTTCGAAACAGGCCATGGTGCAATATAAAAGCACAGCAGGCAAACCTGCTTTTAAAAAGGGAGCTTTGGGATTGGTTGGAATGCGCTGTGATTGACAGGCGCTGGGTTTGTTTTAAAAGGGACACGCAGGCGTTCACTGCACGACTCCGTTTTCAAATATCGCAGAGAAAATGCTTTGAAATGTGCCGCGATACCCGCAAATATTGCTGCCTCTTTAACTTCAGGCTCGTTCTTATAAGACATCTTTCTCTAAATCTCTACATTTCAAAAAAATGTTTTAGGGTTAATGTGTAATACTAATGATCTGATAAAAGTCAAGTGATTAAATGCAGACATACGCAGAACACAAGACAATCACAGCCTATCTACCGGCTCTTTTTTCCCCCCACTGGATATCTTGCCAAAGCAAATGTCCCACTCCTGCCCTGCAAGAATAATAGAGAGACTGGCCACTGCGTGTCCAGGCCAATTATTGTCAAGTCTTGCATTTTGAGTGGAGTGCCACATTTGAGAACGGTGAAAGTTAGAGGAAACATATTCTAACAATAAAAATTACTTATTTTAATTTTTTTTTTAAATACTAACAATGCCTTGAGCGTCATTAGCCTATATACGCATTAAGTTTAATGCAGTATCTGTTCATGTAATTTATAAGTTAGTGAGCTCTCATGGAGGTAAAAGTACCTTTGCGTTACACTTTTATTGTATTGTAGCCTACGTGTATTTTCATGACAAGATTTTTTTTATCCTCAAGTCCAAAGAAAAATGAAACTTTTATAAAGCAACAAGTAGTTCTACATGGCGCACTAGACCACCACTATATGATAATCTTATTGGAAAAACTTAATTCGCATTGCCATTTTCCAGCAGTGTCACTGGAGAACACTGCAGAACATGATGTACTATTTTACCTTTGAGCCCTTTTCTATACATAGACCCTTTCTCATTACTCTAAAACAAATGAATAACTATTAGGAGTGCACACCATGCGTCCTGTGGGCTACAGGACAGATATAAAAATTGGTAACGTAAAATGTAAATTATAAAAAGTGACAAACAGCAGTGGCTAGGCTGCACTGATCCTGGGAAACTCAGATAAACTTTCATACTTTGGGGTGCTGTGAGGACAGCAGCTCCACTCTCCTCTCCTCCAGTGCTGCACGTATTCCTGCACGTCCCCTTGCACTTTGGGGTGGCTCTGATTCTATCCGCGCACGTCTGTGTACCTGCAGCAGTTCAGCCAAATTCTTTTATCTGTTGCTTTTATTGAAATCTACACGACGTGGCGTGGGCTCCGGACTGCAGCTTATGGGTTTAAGGTGGGGAAAAAAACCTTCTTATTTCCAAAGACTGTAGCTGTCTGAATTTTCAAGTTTTTCTTAAAAAAAAAAACAAAAAGAGAGAAAAAGAGAAAAAACTCCCTTTTCCACATTGTTATGCTGACGTCACCTGCAGAGACAAAGCAAGGGGCCCACTTGACATTAAATGCCGCAAAATAGTAGACAGGCCCAGAACTGGCCTAATTCCGTCATGATTGTAATGGACGCTTATGTTTGTCAACCTTTAACCCGATGCATTTCCGAAAATGATTGAGGACTGCAGCCATATAAACCGAAAGTTTTCAATCTGTCATTCAGAAAGCATAAAGGACTCACAGACCTGCGCCCCAAATGATTCCTCATTTGCAGCGAGAAGGCAAAACAAGAGAGGACTATGCAGAATAACTGCACTACAGCAAGTGAAGTGTCTGCGCCATAGGCCTGTTTGATAGATGCAGATTATGCTGTAATATTTTGTATGTAGGACTAATATTATTTAAATGTTCATAATATCAAAATTTCCTTAAATGACCAAATAGCTCTTAATGTGCTCATAACTTAATTAGAGTTTAGCCTAATAAGCAGTTTTCCACAAATTACAAGTCTATTCATTTCTCTGCAATACAGCAGACTATCTATAGTAATAACAACATAATCAACTAAATGAGTGCAATTTAATCAGTACATTTATATGATTCAAATTTGCCAAATAAGTTTAGCGCAATATTATAATTTTGTAGGATTCATGATGGTGTTGTAAGTTTAGTTTCACATCGATAAACTAAAAATTTATAAGAGTAATGGACAAAACATATTACGATTATTTATTACTTAGTTGAGCACTGTAAAATTTTTCCAGTATTGTTTGTTAAATCTGACAAAATACACTAAATCTGTCACCATGTGGCGTTTTAAATTTGGAAACCACACATGAATGCATATACAACTTGAGTTTAAATATCTACATTTTAACAAATTTTTAGCATTTTGACATCTGCAGTCCCTTCCCACCCTCCAGCTTTATGGGTCCGGTCATGTATGTTGGTTGCCTGACAGGCCAGACAAAATCCTAGTGACTGTTGCACACAAAATATCACTCCCAGCAATCAAAACATTCATGTTAGGGAATACTCTTTACATCCATAAGGTCCAAGTCACTCCCAGACCAGTGAATGTCGAGCAAATGAGTGACAAGGCGATATGGAAAGACGGATTTAAGCAGAGCACAAATGCCAGAGGTACAGCATATCGCCATGTTGTAAACTGGGCTGAAAAGACATCAAATTTTATTCCTTCGTGGCGATGAGAAGAATTTTTTAAGTAACACTCATCACCTTTTTTGGGAAAACCATTCGCACAAAGTCAATAAACACATACACACACGTTTATAAATATTTGTGTATATCCATAATAAACTATTTCCAGTCTGTATAAGAATCACCAGTTGTTACACTTGGTCACTAATGTCAATGTAACACAAGACATGACAAAAAATAATAAAGCGAGAGAAGGATGGGGAGCACAAAATTATTTCATCAAGCATCCAAATCTCTGTGTGACAGAGACATAAAGTTACTGTTTGTTCATATATGTGGTACAAACAGGAATGCCTACGTGTGTGCATTTATGCATGTGTGTGTGTATGTTTAGACAACTGAATGCATTAGTGTGGAGTGTGCTGAAATATTATAATTGATGAGGGGTGGCAGTGCACAGTCTTGCCATGACTTTATGAAATTTAGATGAATTAACAGGTTTGGGATGGGTCCATTTGCAGACAGATGCTCCAGTAAATCACAGCAAGAAGTCAATTAGTCCTCTCCATCAGCCATATGAAGGCAAACACCAAGTACTGTACCAGTCACTCAAGACCCAACTGACCATATCATTTATGAAATATAGATGACGATCTGTGCAGTTATTATTGTACCATATGCAAGCATAAACCTGTGTTTAATAGCACAAAGCAAATACGGAATGACAAAACATTTCTGAGACTGTGCTTCTCCAGTGACAAACAAAAAACAAACACATATACAGCAGAAAAATATACCCAATAGCAATGCAATAAAGTCAAACAATATATCCACATTACAAATAAATTGTCATTCGTCATGTAGAGCTCTAGTATCTGTGACTAAAATCATTATCCGCTGCTACACTTGCACAGAAATCTAAATTAGAATTTGATATAGGCTACATGTATTTCAAAATAGAACTCTGAATGCAAATATTTGTTTTGTGAAAACACAAAGCATTCGGAAAATAAGTGGATGCAAATGTTACATGCACAGTGTTCTCGCTAAAACAAATGTGAGCCAAAACGGTTTCTTATTTTATTCTGAGAATGTATGAAATCTACTTGTTTATGTCGTGAATGAAGACCAGAATTTGAGCCTTTATATTGTTGTGGGCTCAACAGAATGTAAAAGAACTGAGGAAAGTGTTGTGGAGAAGCACAGAGAAGCACACGGAACACAGTGATGAATTATCATATTAAATGAAGGCACAGACATAGTCTGAGAGTTGGGATGTGTCACATAAAACCACAGCAAAAACCTGCAAGTTGTCCATTAAAGCAAAACAATCAATCACGGTATCATTCACTTAACTGTGCCGTTGGGATACATTGACTGTTTAAAATGTAAATACACATTCACATACAGTGGTATTTGATAAATGGGAGTAATGCTGGGCTATGGTTCTGCCATTGTTTTAGGGAGATGAAGATTTCTATTTTGTCTGGTCACTATTGAGTTAACTTCAAGTCCACAAACTTGTCTATAGCACTAGCGGCCTGAGCCAGCCAAGCATAGTGTAGGCTACAGGCCAGACAGCGAGGACTGAAAAAAAAAATACTCTACTTACAGTAGCTGTAAGAAAAAATCCAAAAGATTGAGCTGCTATAGGCCAATTTGCTCATATAAGAAGACAATTATCATGCATCTAGGTCATTTCCCAAATTATGCCCTGAAATAAGGTTTACAGCTATTGACTCCAACACATCTAGTTAGAATAAATGTATAAATGTGAGTTGTTTACCATTTAGGCTGATGGTTATGTTCTGCTCTTTTCCAACAGCATGGGCATACTGTCAGAGAGGTATGCACACTACAATATTGTGATATTTTAAGGTAACGCGCATGCTCAGTTAAAAGAAGATTATGTTATAACCAATGGGCTATCCCAACGCCCAATGAGGTAATCCCAGCAGAGATAACTAAATCATCAAATTATACAGAGTCCTGTAGAATATCCTGCTATAATTTAGCACGTTGCATTACGCCTACATTTAAATCACCATTAAAGATGTTCCACTGTCGGATATTTGAACCAAAGAAAACACAGGCCTGGTGTCATATTCACCTAATCTTTTTTTTTTTTTTTTATGGATTTGAAATTCTGCAGATAAAATAAATATACAAAATCGTTTGATTGCAAAACTAGAAAATATAACTGTCCCAAATCTATCAGAATTAAATTAAATAGATATCTCAAAAAAATAGAGGTGAAAATGTCAGTGAGCGGAGGGCGGCAAGCTCGAGTAGCGGTGTAAAATATTTTGGGAGAAAATGGCTGGTGTGAGTGAGACAAACGGTTAACAAAAGTGCAGCTCTATAAAGCTCTCCTTCCCCCTCTTTTAAAGTTTCCCCATTTTCTATTGTCTAGTAAAAAAATATTATCAGTGCACCATGGCAGGCTGCTCCTCTCAGGCAAGAAGAGGTCGATTAAAAACAATAAAAAAAACCAAACAAAAAAACAAATAGAGAATTAAAATTAGATAAAGAAATAACCTAACATTCTGCCAACCCTGACTCTCTTGGTTTGTTTTGATGCTGGGGAAAGATATACAATTAGAAAATGCGTGTCCCTCTCGTCAAATTCCACATTTGCAGAATTAATTAAATGGCCTAATAAAATATTCAATAAACACTAGTATACCCGAAGAGATCTGCAGTAGCCTAGTTTTAAATTTAACTCTCGAGCAACAGTTGCTTTACATTAGGCCTAGCTGATGACAGCTCCCCTTTTTCCCAGCAAGAGCTCAGTGCCTACGCTGCTGCTCTGTCGCTCACAAACATTTGTGACTCATCTAAACCGTGTTTTTGAATTATTTCATAGTGATAATATGGCTGCAAATACACGGCACATAACCTTAAGTGGCGTATGGAGCCTTCACGTTTCAACAAGCCAATAAAATATGGAGGGAATACAGAAAAACTTAACAGGCTGCTTGTCACTTGTGAAAGTTCAAAAAGGTCGCCATAAATCTCATACTGCAAAACTGCAAAGGCAAACTCTGTTAACTGTGTGTGTGTGTGTGTGTGTGTGTGTGTGTGTGTGTGTGAGCGTGTGAGTGCACGCGCATGCTGTGTGTGACAAGACGAGTGTGTGTGTGTGTGTGTGTGTGTGTGTGTGAGAGAGAGTGAAGGGGGGAGTAAACTGTGAGAGGCTATGCCTTAGTGGTGAGAGAGAGAAAGAGAGAGAGAGAGAGAGAGAGAGAGAGAGAGAGAGAGAGAAAAAAGGGGGAGAGAGAGGGAGGGAGGGGAGAGAGGCAGACAAACAGAGAGAGAGCAGCTTACGGAGGAAAAAGAGATGAAGTGAATCTCATTCGTCGTTTTGCTTCGAGATAAGTTGTTGAGGTTATGTACAAAAAGAGCAAGTGTTGTACTAATGCGCACGACGGCCATAAAAAAACAGAGGTATGCAGGTCCTTCCAACAATTAAATTACCATATGAGTAACAGGCCTAAGAACCGAGCAGGCTATGTTCACTTCAAGAAAACGAAATCCCATGCAACCTCCACGGGCTAAATATAATAATAAACTGTAGATTTACACACTTCCACAGTACACACACACACACACACACACACACACACACACACACACACACAGGCCTACCTCACACCCGCTCTGACACAGAGAGACTACGGATAAGTTAGAAAACTCACCTTTTCAATCTATAACTCTTTCTCGAGGAAATGTTCTGGAGTGAGTGCGGTAGGATGAGGGCGAAAGCTGAATGAAGGACTGATTTGAAGATTTTTTTTTTTTTTTTTGGGTCCAGATCCCCTAAAATAAAGAATGTGAGCTCCTTCCTGGGGCAGATTGAGGGGGGGAAAGGATGTGAAAGGCTTGGAGTTAAAAAGCGCCGCTTGAAGCACTCAGCGCGTCTCTGAACTTGATCAGATTTTATGTGTCCTGCAGCGAGTCAGCGGCAGCCCTGTGAAACTTGCTCAATGGCACGAATTTTTGGCTGAGCGAAAAAATCTCAGGATATTACAATTACTGCCATCTTTCTTTCTGTCTTTTATTCCTCCGTCTTACACCCTATAGAGCTTTTGCAAAAAAAATACCCCCCTCCCCTTTCAAGCGGCTTCAAGAAAGGCACATTTTGGAACTGTGCCAAGTACATTCAAGTTTTCAGTTAATAAGAGCAGAAAACTGGTCACATGAAAGAGAAAAATAAGTCACTGTCATATAAACTTATATAGATAGATAGATAGATAGATAGATAGATAGATAGATAGATAGATAGATAGATAGATAGATAGATAGATAGATAGATAGATAGATAGATAGATAGATAGATAGATAGTGGTTTCAAAAATCTAACAAAAGTTAAAACTTGCCTTCAAAATATATTGGAACTTTTTTTTTACACACTAAATATGACAAATCAAATTCATTTCATGTTGCACAATAACTTCGTTAACGCTAACACTTTCTGTTAAATAACATAAGTTGTTTAAAAAGCTCGCACTGGGTATTATATACTGCACAGGTTATATTTCTTATCATTTATAAAACTGTTGGGCAGTTTGTTGAGGAGTGTAAATCACGTAAGGCTGCATGAGACATGCGCTACACATAACACACACAGGATCTGCGCTAGAGTGCTCCGTTATACCTGCAAAATAATGCCTGTAAGAGCCAATCAAATGAAACCAATTGAGACGACCTGCCATCTTCAATACCGAACCGTGCCAATCACCAGAAATCTAGCCAATTAACACCCTCCTTCGTAGTCACGTGTCAGAGGGGTAGCCGAGCGCTGATTGGCTGTCGTAGCACTGCCTCCCGAGTTCATTTATGTTCTGGGAGTGAGTGATTGACTTTATCAGTCCAAGGACATCATCCGCCTGGAAAGGGGGGGAAGTTTGATCCTCTTTCTCACGGATCGCAGTCAACGGGAGTTTTTTTTTCCTCCCAACTCTTTACGCATAGGATTTTTCCCCGTTTTGGCTTGGTGTGTTTTTTTATTTTAGGATTTTTTCGCAAAACGTGGTAAATCTCGGCGCGGTGTCTGCAGCTTGCGCGCTCCGCTAAACTGGATTTTAATTTTATTTTCTGTTTTCTTCCCGTCTCCTAAGTTTTGCTTCAAGCTCATGACTATGCTTCTTGATAGCGGTCCGCAGTTTGCATCGTTAGGAGTGGGGGGCTTCGGGACACCACGGCACCACGAAATCGGGAGCAGGGACCCGAGTCTGGGACTGAATCCCTTCACCGATTCCTCCCACTCCGCAGCTTTCAAAATCAGCCCGGTGGCTCACGATATCGCCTCCAGCCAGACGTCAGCTTTCACCCCGCAAGCCACTGGATATGCAGCTGCCCTGGGACACTCTCACGGCGGGCAGGTGGGCTCGTACGGCGGAGGAGCGTTCAATTCAACACGGGACTTTCTCTTCCGGAACCGGGGTGTTGGAGAGTCCACAGCGCCTAGCGCCCAGCATGGGATCTTTGCAGCTTCGGCGGGGAGCCTCCACGGGCCGCCCGGGATCACCGATAACCCCGGACATCTGTTGTTTCCAGGACTTCACGACCAGGGGGTGAGCCACACTTCTCCGAGTGGACATGTAGTTAACAGCCAAATGCATCTTGGCTTACGCGGGGACATTTTCGGAAGACCCGATCCGTATCGTCCGGTCGCAAGCCCTCGAACGGACCCCTACGGGGCTCAGCTCCACAACTACAGCCACCCTATCAACATGAACATGGGGATGAATGTGCCGACACACCACGGTCCGGGAGCCTTCTTTAGATACATGCGGCAGCCGATTAAACAAGAATTATCCTGCAAATGGATAGACGAGAACCAGATGAACAGACCCAAAAAGACTTGCGACAGGACTTTCAGCACCATGCACGAGATGGTCACTCATGTGTCCATGGAGCACGTCGGCGGCCCCGAGCAGAGCAACCACATCTGCTACTGGGAGGACTGCCCGAGAGAAGGGAAATCTTTTAAGGCCAAGTACAAACTCGTCAACCACATCCGTGTGCACACGGGCGAGAAACCGTTCCCGTGCCCGTTCCCCGGATGTGGGAAAATATTCGCCAGATCGGAAAATTTGAAAATCCACAAAAGAACACATACAGGTAGGTACAATGGCACGGCGTGCGTAGAATAACATTTAAGAAGTGGAGCTGTCCTGAATATAAATGCTGTGTGTCTTAGACACTGGTTCAGAGTGCTCCAAAAAAAAAGAAAAGAAAAAGGGCATCTTATTTTTGTTGTTTACAGGAAATATTTGAAAACTCGGGCCCACATTTATCATGCTGTTCAATTCCCATATTGTTTTTGGTGCAGTTTTTATCTGAATTATTTCTAAATACATGTATGAATTAGTGCCGGCTTAATAAAACAGAAACTGCGACTCTGTTAGACAACTCTGTGTCAGCCCACATTCATTCTTGTAGCTTCAATGCTCAGAAGTTGTGTGTGAGATATAAACATAGATACTTCACTCACTCGTCAAAGTTTAGCTGCATGTGAACGGCTGTTAACATACAATACACATGTGCTTTTCTGAGCCTCATGTACAATTACAATCAAGCAGTATCAGGCTGTGTTTCATAGGCTGTAGAAATAAAAAACAAAGCTGTGTTTATAATTCTCGCCGTTGTTCAGCCACCACGTAGATCAGAAATGCCCTGTTGATTCAGTGTTTACTAGTGGAAGAGCAGACGCACGGAGCAGGCCAGTAGTAGCATGAGGAGCAGGCCTCTTG